GTCCTAGCTATCTGGGAGGCTGAAGTGGGAGAATCACTTGAACCAAGGAGGCAGAGGCTGCAGTGAGCTGAGATAGCGCCACTGGATGCCAGCTTGGTCGACAGAGCAAGACTGTCTCTAAATAAATAAATAAATGTATCGATTAATATCTATCTACCTCCAAAATACTCACACAGGGAAAAGTAATAGTTTTACAATGGAGAAGCCTGGTAAACAGTACTTTAAGAAAACTGAACATCAACAGAAATGGGGCAAACTGAAATTGTGTACTACGCGACAGGATGCAACAAGTAAACAGAATTGCATCTGTGGTACTCCTGCCAAAAAGCACAAATGGAATCTAGTTACGAGGAAACAGAAATCCAAATGTGGGGTATTTTACAAAGTAGCTTCTCTATAATCTGTAAAAATGTCCAGAGTCACAAAAGTCAAGGAAAGATTGAGGAACTGTGTCACAATGAAGGAGACTAGAAACACTACAACCTAAAGCAACACATGATTTTGAACTGAGATCCTTAAAAGGAATCAGGACTGCTAGTAAAACTTGATTGGGGTCTGAGAATTAGATAATAGTAATATGTCAATGTGAACTTCCTAATTTTCATGTGTTGTAGTTATACTGGAGCATTCTTTCTTCTTGGAAATACAAAAGTACTTGAGGGTGGTACAGCATCATGACAGCGACTTATTCTCAAAAGGGAATAATTTTATTTGTACAGTATTTACAACCCTTCTGTAAGTCTCAGATGATGTTTCAACGTGATATATAACTAAGAAAACATAATTTTAATCATGGTAAACTTTGTTCAGTTCCTGTGTCCATTGTGCACATGTTCTTCAAAACTATTTTGGTTTTGTTATTAATTTCCTTAGAAATTTTTGTCATGCATGACTTTTTGAATCTTGTTTAAACACACATACACACAAATATGCACACACATGCAATTAGGATAGCAGAATGTTCCTAGATGCTGTAGTTATGTGAATTCTATTTTTAAAATTTAAAAATGTACATATTACTATAAAAATAACTTCTCCCTCTTGTGGCAAAAAATGAAAATACATTCTACTGGAGAACTGTAATAGAGGCACTTAGGTATTATTCCTCATAAAATATTTTCACATAATTTCATGTGAATCCCCCATGTTAACCTCTAAATGGTACATAGTATTTACAAACAATATATTTAGAGGTAGCTTGACAGTTTTCTTTACATCCAGCATTGTCCAGACTCTATTTGGAGATTTTCTACAGGAAAAAGCTAAGAGTTAATTATTTTTCTAAAGACACGGACTCACTATGTTGCCCAGGACTGTTCTTGAACTTCTAGTCTCAAGTGTTCTTCCCACCTAGGCCTCCCAAGTAGCTGGGAAGCTGTAGACTTGATAAAATTGCTACAATTAAAGGCCAGAGTTGAAAGGAACCAGTTACAGCATAAAGATTAAAATGATAGGCAGGCAAAGAAGGATGGCCTTACTCAAAGGCATCTGCCAATTGATGTACAGCGGCATCAGGAAGGATTCTCACCTCTCAAAGCTTAATCTCAAAACTCTGAAAGTCCATCATTGGGGATTAATTCCTTTGTTAGTTCTATCCAACCTTCACTTAGTTTATTAATATAAAGATACGCTAGAAGGGATATGACATTTTCTTCATTTAAGATTCCCAACGGTGAAAACAAAAAAAGTCACTCATCTGAGCCAAAAATGAAACTTAACTTTCTTATTCCAGATTCCTGCTTCCTTTCTTAAACCTCCATATTTCCTCCTATTAAGTCACTAGGCACTTACAATTCTATGTTTTACTGACCTTTCACTGATTATAAAATAATTTAAGTGGTTTTTGAAAGTAAACTTAATTCCAGTTTCAGACTTTTAAATTAAAAGTGGCTCAGTTGGATACTGTCTCTTAAACACAGTAATATAAATATTAGTATCTTGGCTAAAATGAATTATTGACAATTTAATACATGTTGCACAGTACATATTAATATAGAAAAATACATGTTATCAGCAGCATAATGTTGACCATGTTCTAATCCATTCCACCTGCTCAAATATTAGTGCAAATAATTATATATTTGTAATGCATCACTGCTGTCTAGCACAAATCTATGCCTTCTGAATAAATGACTTTCCTCTAGGTTGACTGCTATTTGAAGTATGTGATGTATTCCTATTTAAACTGGCTTTGTATGGTGAAGCAGACTGCAACCTTCTAAGCCACTTAGAAAATGAGCAAGTGTGTTTAATTACTCATCTTTCCCCCCAAAAGTAATCATAAAAACAAAAGTTAATGGTACCTATCAAATAATAATGATAAAATACATAATGCCTAGTTCAAAAATAGGAATTTTGTTAAGCCCAGGAGTAGCCTAGCTGCTCTAATTCGGCAATTAAAATTTCTTTTCTCTAAATGTCAGGTTTCCTTCCCATATACATTTGAACAGTTGTTTCCTCCCTAAATTTGTAAAGAGAATAATCAGTGGTAGGAATAGGAATCATGACAGCCTTTAAAACCCTTAGCATGCAATTTTGGTTACATAAAAATAACTACCTACTGTTAATATACTAAATGTTTTGCCTTATATTTTCACTGCAGCATTAGCTATTTAGAAATTACCAATGCACTAAATAGTTAACGCAATTGGCAAGCCTATGACATTTAAAATAGTTTTGGAACATAAAAACACTGATTTCTTCACATCTTCAAGGTAGAGTTGTCATTTACTTCTATGTCACAAATATAGTACAAAATATTTGGTCTCTTTCTATTGTGAAAATTATCAAGCTGGAAAAGTATATAAAATAATAGCAATAAAATCTGTGATAGACATATTTCTATTAGGTACAAACTTAGTATTAAAGCTTCATGACCACTTATAAAATTTTAAATTTCAGATTTAAAAAGTATGACCACACATTGAACATATTAAGAAAAACACAACAAAAAATTAGATCCTGACCCTGTATGCGAACACATAATATAAATGCTACAGGAAGACTCACATTGGATGAAAAGATTAAGCAAAACTAATGAACCTATCCAACTAAAGGATCAATTTAATGTTACATAAGTAGAATAGCATATAGAACCTAAAAGTGAGTGAGAAAAGATTTAGGTTTCAATCTGAGGATTTTACTAGCTGTAGACCTTGAGTGGTCTACTTACCTTTCTATGCATTAGGTTTTTCATCTGTCAAATGAAAGTAATTGTATCCAAATCCTATGGTTGCTCTAGAATCAAATAATATATGCAAAGGACTTAGCACAGTGTGTGAGACTTAAATTAATACATGTAACTATAATTATCTTTATTATGCAGTAAAATTTTTTAAGTTCCTAACTTTTAACTTTATGTATAATTATTCAGTCTAACAATATGGACTGATTTTTTCTTCTAAATTACATAATAATGCATTACAGGGCAGATCAGAGAGAAATAATACAGAAACTGAATATAAACTAATTGAATGAAAGCACAAAATGCTTTGTATGTAAAATTCAACAATATATGGGTAATGTGCAGAATATTTTTGAATTAAAAAAAGTTAAATCTTCCAGATGTGAGCTTTGTTAGTAACAAATTATGTACTCACTGAACCCTGATGTCTCTCCAGCGCAGTTCAAGCATACCTTAGCCACTACCTTAGGAATCTAACCACTTTAAGGGGTTTTGTGGCATTTCAAAAATCAAAATCTCTTTATCCAGATCCTTGTAAATATGTACCATCACAGGTAAGAAAAAGGCATTTTAGGAAAGCAGTGAAATCTCCACTTAGAATTAATCTACTGACTGATAATTAAATTATTTCACTGTGAACCAGAAGGCTAGTATTTAAAAAGCAAAATTTTTAGAAGTGAAAGAGGAGAAAAAAAACAATCTAAAATTTAATATAAATTAACCTAATTTAAATTAGATTTTAATTTAACCTACTTTGACAGTTCTTTTTAAAACAAGATCCTAAGGACTTGCAACTATGGCAATCCTCAAAATGGGACCAAAAATTGTCTTGGAATGGTCAGGTGGTCATCTGTCTAAAGATCCTTCTAGCTATTATTTAATAATTCTTCATAAGGACACTTCATCTACTCTGGTTGACTGTCATTTTCTTTTTTTTTTTTTGAGATGGAGTTTCGCTCCTGTTACCCAGGCTGGAGTGCAATGGCGCGATCTCGGCTCACCGCAACCTCCGCCTCCTGGGTTCAGGCAATTCTCCTGCCTCAGCCTCCTGAGTAGCTGGGATTACAGGCACGTGCCACCATGCCTAGCTAATTTTTTTTATTTTCAGTAGAGACGGGGTTTCACTATGTTGACCAGGATGGTCTCGATCTCTTGACCTCGTGATCCACCCACCTGGGCCTCCCAAAGTGCCGGGATTACAGGCTTGAGCCACCGCGCCCGGCGCTGACTGTCATTTTCAACATCATAATTTACATAAGGTAGGCTTCCTTTATTAAACTCGTATTCTGTAATTCAGATATTTCTTAAATTTTAGAAGAACAATGTGCAGTGTGTTAGAGTGTTATTTTCAACTTCATTCAATGCATTACCTAAATATTGCATATTAGCTTATGTGATACTGTGGAATATTGCAAAGATTGCACTTATTTAAATGTTGGTTAAAGTTACCAATATACAAAGCTCCATTCTCTACCTAAAATTCTACCATGTGCAAATGAAAAACATTTTACTTATTGATCATCTCTTCTGAGCCATGAACTTTGGGTAAAATTTTGTTATGGCTATAAATATAAAAATATTTTAAAAATCAGAAAACAAAGAATGCATATTGCTTCACATGACACTTTTTTTTTTTTACCCCTTTAGAGGAAGACCATCTCTGTTTAGGCTAAATTTCTAGTCTTGTTTAGGAAAGTGAGAAGACCTATGCTGTGAAAAATCTTTTAAATCTTAAATTTTTAAATAAAAAATCATTTATAAAATTCAGGATGGATGGCTCTAAAATATAAAAAGAGTGAAATAAAAAAAAAACAACTGCAGGGAATTTGTTTATTGAGCATTAATGTTAACACTTCTAAATTAAGTATTCACTTATGAATTTTGTCACTGTCCTATCATTGGACATAATAGAAAATATTGCACAGAATTCAAACATGAAAATAATTAACAAAATAAGCAACAAGTATATGCTTTACATTTTAAAAATTAATCCAAACAAAATAATTTGAAGCACTTCTCTGATTTGGAAGTCTTAAAATGTTATCTCATGTTTTATTTGAGATTTTTTTTCTTTTTTTCTTTTTTACAAATTGACACTGTACAAAGAGTACTTAAGTGGCCAGTAAAACTACTGCCTTAAAATTGTTGGCTTTAAATAACAGAGGTAAAATTTGAATTCACATCAGAGCTTTCTAAAATGGCAACAGTACAAGCATATGACTTTCTCTAGTATCCAAAACCTGTTCTGGCTCTCCCTTGGCTAGAAAACAAGACAGCCTTCTAAAGCTGCCTTAATGTCCTAAAATGCTTTGAAAGAAGTTGGTATACTTCATTCCCTTGCTTACCTTGGTAACAGTGAACTAAACAGAAAATGAAGAAAATTCAGTCAATAGTAACTTAAACAGTACTAAGTTAGCTCTGGACTTAGAAAGTTTGGTAAAGTTGATGACATTCAGAATAAGGATCTCGGAAGAAAAGCAGTTTTCCAAAAATAGGCTAAAAAGACTATATTAAAGAAAAAATGCCAAGAGTGAATTGAGTACTTATCTGTTCCTAGAAGACTATGAACAACACAATAAGAGCTGAAACACTACATATAAAAGACTAACCATATGTTCAGCCATTCCATCTTATTAAAGTTTAGCATTATGATAGAAATCTTAAAGGGCTGCATTGTTGCTAAACACTGTCAATATTTCTTATATGCACCATTTAGACTATACCTCATTTTTTTTTTACTTCCCTTATATTAAAATAATGAATAAATATGGTCCTTTAGTTAAGGTCCTCCATCTTAAGTGAAATATAAATAAGGTAGTTTTATTAATTTCTTACTAGAATTGGCTTAAAATCTATTTACCAAATAAGAAATCGTAAACTTTTAAGTTTTACCCAGAAAGCAGAAGTATTCTGATCCACTCCTAATGTCTACATAAAACTTTTCATCATTTCAGTTTAGTTTATGACATTTTTCTTGGACTAGTATTAATGTTGTACCTCAGGAAAAAAAAATCCGGACAACCAACTACAGAAAGTATGCTTAATTGTTAACCTTTTGAAAGAGGCAAAAAATTATTTAGGAAAACCTAAAATAATCTGATTAACAACTGATGCTGAAAAGGTCATTAAAAACTGAAGATTAATAAATATAGTTTTCCTGCATTTCAACTGTTATTAATGCAAAACAGAATGGCAACATTTCTAAATGGAATATGTTAAAGTACAAGAAGGGAAAACACTGGTAACATTTCCTTTGCCTTCTGACAGCAACATTTTCTGGGATGAAAACAGTGACATGTAGTTTTACAAAATCTGAAATTTCTACATTCAAGAATGGAATTAAAATTCAACTTAAGGGGTAAAAAACAAAATACAGCTAGCGGCATTCAAACTTAAAATAAAACCTCAAAGGTAAGTATGGCTGCTGTTTTGTTCCAGTCATTGTTTCACAAAATGTTGGCTGTGTCATAAGGGATCTCCTGTGCTTTCTATCAACCGAGGCCTACTGAAGAACAAGCCATTCCTGTGTAAAGGAATTGACATTGAATTCCTTCAATCTCAGCTGAAGTGTCGAGCAAGGCGGGCAGATCTATAATCAGCACGAAGTTGTACGAAGGAGTGAAGTATGTTCTTGTCCAGATTAGCAAGTTGTTCTCCTGAGCAGACTTGCTTTAAATTATCTGGGGCAACTACCAGAAGATTGCAAAGAGCATGCAGAGTATCAAAAAGATGTAATACCATTGGAATCTGAATTGAGAGAATAAAGAAAGTAACATTGAAACAAAACAATTTCCAGTTTTACAATTAGCTTGTAACTTCTTACATAGTCAGGTGGGACTTAATAGTGTGGGAGGGGTTCAACATGTTAGAACTTTTAAAGATCGCAAAGCATTAAAACTTAGATTTCAGTAGCTACATAAACTTGCTGTAATATTTCGAAAAGATTCATATGTCAATTTTCTTCAATAGTAAGAATTATATATACTGCAGTGGACTAAAATTTAAATGTTACAGAAAAATTCAAGACATAAATGAAGACAGAACATTATTTTCCTAATGTACGACATATACAGCATTAGTCATGGGTGTCAGTAAGTCAGAGACTGTAGAACTGAAAATGCAGCATGAAGCAAAAATGTGTTTAATATTGAATAGATGAGTCAGGCGTGATAGATGAGTCAGGCGTGGTGGCTCATGCCTGTAACACCAGCACTTTGGAGGCTGAAGCAGCAGATCACTTGAGCCCAGGAGTATGAGACTAGCCTGGGCAACATTGTGATATCCTGACTCATCTGAAAAAAATAGAAAATAAAAATTTAAAATTTAAAAAAAAAATGATTGGAACAACACTTTTTCAGGTAGAATGTGTTAATCTATCTCATATAATATCAACAAAACTTATAAACCTTTTACTAATTATAAGTAAATATCAATTTTTAATGATCCGACTTATGTTCCTAGGCCTATTTGCAAGTTTGATGTTTTTGTGTATACATACCTTGAAGTCTTTGGCACACTTCCTATATTCAGCTACATCACAAATTGCCAACATGCCACCCATACAACTGTAGGAATATTGTTGAAGATGCTCATAGATAAGTCGATGAAAACGTACTCCAAGTTCCATCAAAACTGTATCCACATTCTTCCCATCCATGGAATTTTTAATCTTCTCCACTTGTTTTCTTACATAAGCACAGACTTTTACACAGGCCTATAAAAGTTTTTCTATACTCATTACATAGGAATATATACCAGCTTAGCTAAAGAGGAAATATATAGTTTCTCATTAATCTGTAAGTATAAAAGAAAAACATCCAGGGCATAGTAGGATACATCAATAAAAATGTTAACAAATATTAACAAATTCCGTCATTTTACTCACATTAGTATATTGAATCAAAACATTGTTTTCATCTTCTGGCTTAAAATCTGTTTTCTTTTGTTCTGCAGCCAAAATGTGCTTCATCTGTCCAATCATACAATTTAACGTCCTAGAGAATTGAGAACACAACATCAGTTAACCCATCTAACTTATTCTAGGTTTCTGTTTAATTATATTATTTATACTAAATTAAATTAGTTATTTGATTTCCTATCACCATAAAACTCTTTTACAATTGATAAACTTTAGATACTAGAAAAATTAAGCTCTAGGTCTTAATATGAAAGAGCTCTTGGTTTTATTATCTTTCTGCTCAAAACAGAGAGCAAAGATTCTTTGTGCAGTATTTCAAGGAAATCCTAAAATCTTAGAAGCCTGTCACTAATTCAATTCCTTAACAACCAAGGACCTTCAAAGCAAAACTATATACAAGTTGAGTATCCCTTTCCCAGAATTCTTGGGACCAGAAGTGTTTTGGATTTTGGAATTTTTCAGAATTTAGAAAATATCTGTATATACATAAGATACCTTGGGGATGGGACCCATTCTAAATAAAATTCATCTATGTTTAATATACATCATATACATGTAGCCTGAGGGAAATTTACTAAAATATTTTAATAGTTTTGTACATGAAACCCATTCATTGAGCCAATCGGAAAACAAAGATGTCACTCAGCCACCTATGTGGACAATCCATGGCTATCTGGCATCACCATCATTCCTGACACTGAATTTACATGCTACTAATAAGCAATCATTTTCTTACACTTATTGACACAAGTACTTAACAGTAAAAAAGATAACATGTCATTAATACAGAGAAAAAATAATGCTCAAGGTAACTAAACAGCACAGTAACATCACCAGAATACCCGTATTGCCTGTTAAACAACAAACAATAAAACAGACACAAGAACACCCCAAATATAAAAGGAACTTAAACAATAGCAAAAAAACAAGCCAATGTTTAAGAGGCAAAGAACCTGAATAAAAATTTCTGAAAGAAGACATATAGATGGTTAACACATATATGAAAAGGTGCTCAACACCATTAGTCATCAGGAAAATGCAGTCATCACTTCACACCTGTTGGGATGGCTATTTTCAAAAAGGCAACAGATAACAAGTGTTGTCAAGAATGCACACAGACATTTGTACACTGTTGATGGGGATGTAAATTGGTACAGCCATTATGGAAAAGTACATAAATTCCTCAAAAAATTAAAAGCAGAGCTACTACATGATCCAACAACCCCACTTCTGGATAACCAGGCATACCTTGTTTTATTCTGCTTTGTTTCATTGTGTTTTAGATACTGTGGCTTGTTTTATTTTTACAAGTTGAAAGCTTCTGGCAACCCTGTGTCAAGCAAGTCTATTAGTGCCATTTTTCCAACAGAATGTGCACACCTTATGTTTCTGTGTCACATTTTGATAATTCTTACAGTATTTCAAACTTCTTCATTACTGCTAAATCTGTTATGCTGATCTGTTATCAGTGATCTTGTGATGTTTTAATTGTTTTGGGTACCACAAACCATACACATATAAGACAGTGAACCTAAGTGATAAATATAGTGTGTGTTCTGACTACTCCAGTTAATGGCTGTTTCCCTGTCTCTCTCCCTCTTCTTGGGGCTCCCTATTCCTTGAAACACAACAAAATTGATATTAGGACAATTAATAATCCTATAATGGCCTCTAAGTGTTCAACTGAGAAACATCACATATTTCTCACTTTAAATCAAAAGCTATTAATGATTAAGTTTAGTGAGGAAGGCATGTTAAATGTCAAGATAGGCCAAAGTAAAAAACTTCAGGATTCAATAAAAACAACATTCTAATAAGGATGAAGGCAGTAAGTACAAATAAAATCAAATGTTGTAGCAAGATGGTAGAATTAAGACAAATTATTTTTCTCCTCTAAGAAGTATTTTCATGCTGTGATGATATGGTGCTTTTATAATTTAAAAAAATGCGAGAGACAAAACCAACAACTTGCCTATCGATGCCAGTATCCAATTTCATCTCCATTTGTTCAATTATTTCTTTTTTCTTTTGAAGGCATTCAGATAACTTAGGAGAAGAGCTATTGTATATTTAAAAGGGAAAAGGAATCATATTAATAATCCAGTATTTTCTGTAAGTTTTTCATGTATCTGTGGGTATTACATTATATATATTTATAAATACATCCATATATACAGATTAATACTGTTAACAAACCCAAGACACATATAACAAGCAAAGTAATTACTTAGCATTCACTATGCACAATTCATTATACTAGTTAAGACTAAAAACAACCAATTAAAAGGGAAGAAAGGGTCAGGCATGGTGGCTCACCCCTGTAATCCCAGCACTTTGGGAGGCCGAGGTGGGCAAATCACCTGAGGTCAGGAGTTCGAGAACAGCCTGACCAATATGGTGACACCCCTGTTTCTACTAAAAATACAAAAATTAGCCAGGTATTGTGACGTGTGCCTGCAGTCTCAGCTACTCGGAAGAGTGAGGCAGAAGAATCACCTGAACCCAGGAGGCGGAGGGAGATTACAGTGAGCTGAGATTGTACCACTGCACTCCAGCCTGGGCGACACAGCAAGACTCTGTCTCAAAAAAGGGAAAGACAATGACTACTTAAATTTGTTATTCTGATCTCTGAGAAGACATCTCTCAAGAATATGTGACTTTAAAATTTTGTAATTATTTGGTTTTCTTTATAAACAATTATCTAGTGTAATAATAAGAAAAGTTATAGACTATCAGCAGGGTTTTAATAACACAGTAAATCATAATATAAAATTTGGAGGGTAACAGCCAATCCAGTTGTATTTTTAAATGTTTAAAACCCTAACAAACATATTTGCCTTTTGAATGCTATCGGAATGTCAAAAGACCCAAAATACCAAGAAATATGCAACCCTAATAATTATGTGAATTCTCTGCTTTGTGGTATAACAGCTCTTAAAAAGTAAATTTCCTTCCAAAATATGATTCAGGGTTTACATGTGACTCTTATCTTTGAGACTGTTTCTGGACTTGTCTTGGCATATCAATATCTACAACAAAATGTCAAAAAAACTTATGCATTTTTCTTCCATAAAAACACTAAAGGGATAGTTTTGTAAAGCATGTTCACATGTACACCGTCTTATTCAATTCTCATAAGCTTTGTAAGTTCACATAAATTAATATAAAGATGCAAACCAAACCTTACTTAATGCCTCATTAAAATCTGTCCTATTAATCTCGGAAAATTATTTGTATGTCTTTACATCAAGTGGGTACACGAACTGTGTTTATCAGCTCTTTTAAAAGATGTGAAATTTGCTGAGTTTCACTAAGCTGGAGGTCCTCTTTCACATTTCGGTTTTAGGTGACAGATTAAATCTTTTGAAATACACCAAAATTAATAATATAGTGGAAAGAGAAACAGAAATGCAAGAAGAAACAATATTTTATTTCCTAAGAACTTTAATATTTTTATTTCATACCACTTGTCCAATTTGACATTTTTGTGAACATGTACTTTTTAAATTTAGTAAAAATATATGTAGAAAATTATGTAGAATACTGTATTATTCACTGAAATATTAATAAATATAATTTGACTAACCTTATTAGTGGCATAAGGTGATCATTAAACTGCTTGTCAAAAAGATGAAAAATAGTATTGGCCTGTTGCACAACATCCAAAAAATAAAGATTTGCATTCCTAGAATCTGAAGAGGGAATTCCTAAAATTGGAAGGCACACGTATGTTAGAATTATCCTTAAAGAAATTCATTTTGGCAACAGAAAATAAATGTTTTTTTTTAAATCTATAACATAAATAAATGTAACCACTGTTTTAATACATTGATAATGACTTCTGTGGACAGAAGAGGAAAATCAAACTTAAGCTTATTAATATATTAGTAAAACTCATCCGAAGTTATTTTTATGCCCAATTTTCACCATCTTCTTAGCCTTCATGATTCACATGAGCCATGAATACACTTGTACCATTTTTCTTATAAACAGGCCTTTTTTTTTTTAAATATCTGATAATGGTTCAAATAATCTTCTCATTAGTCTTCCTCATTCAAGTCTCTTTATCTTTTATCCTAGATACTGCTGCCATAGTAATATGCCCAAACTGACACATTTCCCTTACTGTACTCTCCACTAATTCCTCAAACAATACTCAAAATGTCCTCACTGATTACAAAATAAATTTCTGATTTTATTCTGGAATTTGTTCAGAATAAAATAAAAAGAGAATCAAGCTACTCCATATTCTGACCTCAAATGTCAGCTGATCTCTCTGGATTTCCAAGTCCTCCTTTGTAAAGAATAACAGATGAACTCTAAGGTCCTAAATGTTTATGTTTCTAGCTAAAATTAAAAGACTTAGACTAAGGAAGATATGCATAGCTAAGGAGAAAATACAAGCTTGATACCTAAAGTTCTTTGTTCTATAATGATTTTTTTTTGGTCTTAAAAATGGAAAACAGGGCTGGGCACGGTAGGTCATGCCTGTAATCCCAGAACTTTGGGTGGCCAAGGCAGGCGGATCACTTGAGGTCAGGAGTTCGAGACCAGCTTGGCCAAATGGAGAAATCCTGTCTCTACTAAAAATACACACAAAAAAATTAGTTGGGCGTGGTAGTGCACGCCTATAGTCCCAGCTACTCAGGAGGCTGAGGTGGAAGGATCGCTTGAATCTGGGAGACAGAGATTGTAGTGGACTGAGATAGCACCACTACACTCCAGCCTGGGTGACAGAGTGAGACTCTGTCTCAGAATAAAATAAAATAAAAAATAAAAAAATTTTAAAAAGGAAAACAAAGGTGTTCCCCCCCCCCCACCCAATAAAAGCCAAGATTACCAACTTGTAAGAAAATTGAAGGCTCCAACTTTATAAGAGAAAAAAATAAAATATATATGTAGAAAATATGAATCCTTGTTATTAATAAAAGACATAAAATTAAGGCAATATTGATGTATTTTTTCTTTGTAGGCATCGGAATTCAGCTACAATGTATGATTTTAACCACAAAATTATTAAAAATTTTAAAGAATATTCAATAATTACAGAGAAACTGGCACACACAAATAGTCCAGCAGCAGCATAAGTTGGCAGGAAATGAAACCTTTAGGAAAATAGTTTAAATCAAAACAAAATCTTGGAAGGCTGTGGAAGGACAATTACTTGGAGCCAGGAGTTCAAGACCAGCCTAGGGAACAAAGAGAGACTCCATCTCTACAAAAAAAAAAAAAAAGAAAATTAGCTGGGTGTAGTGGCATGGACTTGTAGTTCCAGCTACTCAGGAGGCTGAGGTAGGAGTATTGCTTGAACCCAAGAGTTCAAAGTTGCCATGAGCCATGACGGTGCCACTGCACTCTAGCCTGGGTGACAGAGTGAGACCCTGTCTCCAAAATAAAAATAAGGGTATATCAAAATTATTACACTTTTTTTTTCCCATTTTTTTCTCAGTTTTATTTTTCTTCATTGTACTTTCTAATCATTTGGCTATCTTTTCCACAAGAATGTAAACTCCACAGGTTAAGGAGTAGGCATTTAATAAGCGTGTTAAATGAATGAAATTTGGTGAGTGGAGGCAGACATTAACAGATAAAAATTTCATTGTTATAAGTGCTATAAATAAAGTTAATGCAATGATAAGATAATGAGGATAACCAGGCTAGGAAAAGAGGGCTACTTTATCTATGGTGATCAGCAAGGGCTTCTCTGAGAAGATAACATCTTTGTTGAGATCAGATGGCTGAAAAAGTCAGCCAAGAGAAGAGTGGAGGCAAAAAAATTTTGGGGATAGGGAAACACCAACTTCGAAAAGACTAAGCAAGGAAAAACAATGAGGGTCAGAGTGACTGGGGCAGTGAGAAGAAATGCAATGAGAGATGATCAATGCATACTAGGCCAGATGAAAAGTCACGTTTTTCTAGAGTTTGCTGTTGTTTTCCCCTTAAGAGTAACAGGGAACTATTAAAGATTTTTAAATAAGGAGATGAAATTAAACTTGCTGTTACATGAGTCAGTAACGTGGAGAGGCAAGAATGGATGCAGGGAGATAAATAACAAGCAGACAGAGATAAATGGTGTTTAAATTAGGAATGACATCAGTGAAGATGGAGAAAAGTATATGAATCTGACTTATGCTTGGAAGTATATTGAGAGGATTTGCTGATGGACTGGCTATCAGAATTGATTTCTGAAAAGGAGGAATTAAGAAACTCCTCAGTTTTCTTGGGTCATTGAGCAACTGGTAAAATGGTAATGCCCTTTAAAAAAACCTGAAATATAATAATCATGCATATTGGTAATGCCTTTTAATGACACAGGAAGAATGAGAAAGAACAGGTTTACAGGGAAAATAAAGAGTTTCACTTTGGCTATGTTAAGTTTGAGATGACCACTGAATAGATGAAACAGACAATTGAATTTTTTTTTTTTTTTTTTTTTTTTGAGACAGAGTTTCGCTCTTGTTACGTAGGCTGGAGTGCCATGGCGCAATCTCGGCTCACTGCAACCTCCGCCTTCTGGGTTCAGGCAATTCTCCTGCCTCAGCCTCCTGAGTAGCTGGGATTACAGGCACACACCACCATGCCCAGCTAATTTTTTGTATTTTTAGTAGAGACGGGGTTTCACCATGTTGACCAGGATGGTCTCGATCTCTTGACCTCGTGATCCACCCGCCTGGGCCTCCCAAAGGGCTGGGATTACAGGCTTGAGCCACCGTGCCCGGCCCCAGACAACTGAATTAATGAGACTGGACACAGGTCATTATTACACTACAAACTAATAAGCCCAAAAGACCAAAAGCAAAATAAGAATTTTAATTTGAATCTATTTTTTTCCAGACTTAGTTTTGAATACTCCTCTTTCTAAATCTTATATTGCTCAATTCCCCAACCACAATTGTTTTTGCCTTCATTTTCTTCCTTGATATTTTCCAACTTACAGCATTGTAAGACATTGTGTCATACATTGTAGTGACTTAGGTAGCTCATTATCCTATTATGCTATATGTAAACAATATCAGAGAACTGTTCTGTATAGCTTTCAGCACCTGGCAAATCCTTGCATTATAAAAGCTCAAACTTCATTATACTGAACTGAATTTGACATACAGAGATTATATGCAAAACAACATTTTGTATACAGTTTAAACAAGCAGGATCAAAGGAATTTAACACAAAGTGTAACACAAATACACTCACCAGCAAGTCCTGTTTCCAAAGCATAATCAATATGCTCAATACATAAAAATTCCACAAGGATGGTAAAAATTCTGAAGGCATTCCTTGGTAAGTCAGAAGGATCAGAGAGCTTAAAAACAAAAATCAAGCAATATCACTCCTCAAGTCTACTTTTTTAAAACACCAATTTTTTAAGCAATCCATTTTTTATAAGATACAGTCAGTATTTCAGGTATCAAAATAACTCATAGGTCTCTCCAGACCCCCCCTACACAAACACACATACAAACAATTATAATACTCCATATGTGTTTGTAACTCTCCTGACTTAAGAGTAATGTTTTTCAAATTTGCATTACAATCCATTAGTAAAATCCAAGTATACTATCATAAAATACATCCCCCCCCCAATATATATGTATACATGGGGCTAGCATGTAAAATGCATTTCTTACTGTGGATCGAAGAGGTTTGAGAGCAACTGACTGAGCAAAGAACAGTCTAGTAAAACTCAGAACAAAAAGAATGCTTTGTTTTATTGCGGAGTAAAGATGGAGAAATTAATAACAGATGCACCATAAAATATGACTGGCTCAAATAATAGTTTTATCATTTCCTGATTAAGTGAATCTTTGAAATTTAACCCCACTAGTGCCTCAATTTCTTCATTTGTAAAATGAGAATAATATTAGCAGTACTTACATTCTAGCCTTGAGGTGAGAACAAAATACAAAAAAAAAGCATGAAGTGTTTTCAGCACAGTATTTGCACATAGTGAGCTTACAATATTCATTTTGGTGCTGCTGTTGCTACTAACCTAGCTATTTCATAAAACAATTATTAGTTATGCTGGGAAAATAAAATACTTTTTTAACAGTCAGAAAATTACTCGACTTTTTACAATTGCTTTCTATATTATTTATACATTGCTTTTTGCTTCTGTCAAACCTATTTGTAGTCTTCATTAATGTACCCTCTTGGGGTTACTATTTATTATCTGATGCATTCAATTTGAAGTTGATAAAGAATTCTATAACCCACTTTGAATTCCCACTGACTATAAATACTGATTTGGTATTACTCAGCTTCCTTTGCGGTCTTATTAATAACTACCTCAACCATTACCCCTCCCTCATCAGCCTTTCTACTCCAACATTCACCCTCCCTCTCTAATCACTGATGCTCAAAAATGCTATTATCTTCTTCACAAGCCATTCTTACACTCCACCTATTTACATCCAAACATCCATGTGTAACAGACAGAAGGGGCAGATGGAAAATTGGTAAGGATATAGAAGACTTGAACACCATAATCAACTAAGCCTAACTGACATGTATACAATACTCCATCCAACGTCACAATATATATTTTTTTCAAGTGCAGAGAAAAAAGATGGACCATATTCTGGGCCAAAAAAAAAAAAAGAAAGTCTTAATAAATTTAAAATGGGTTTACATCATACGAAGTATGTCCTCTGACTGAGGAAGGAGACCCAGGCATCTAGGACCTCCCCCTTGACCTCCACACTGCATTTCAATAGAAGAAAAGGCTGGCCGACTGGCAGTGCCTCTTGAATCACCTTCCTATAAGACAGCAGAAGTGATATGGGGGAATCTCTCAGAAGACACCGTTTTTACTTAAGATCAAATCCCCACCCCACTCCTCCATTGGAAACCAGAAACCTTTCACATGTAATTCCTAAACACAAGACCCTTTCATATATGACTTCTAAAGGTGTAAACACCCAAGACCATTAAAGCTGTAAACCTAAGATCCTTTCACGTGTAATATGTAGAGTGTAGGCCTATATAAAGGCAGAGCTTCTCTTTGTTAGGGGAGCTTGGCCATTTGGACAAAACATAAGGCCTTGCTCCCAGGCCATAATAATAAAACCCCTTTCTTTCTAGTTCCGTGTCCAAGAGGTCTGTTTCTCAAGGCTGCTCCTGCTTCACGACCACAACGGAATCAAATTTAAAATCAGTAACAGAAAGATATCTAACAAATTCCTAAATATTTAGAAACTAAATAACATGTCTCAATCATGTTTGGGCCAAAACAAAGCAAAAGCAAAATTAAAAGGATTTGAACTGAATGAAAATAAAACACAACATACAAAAATTCTGGGGATGCAGCTAAAGTAGTATTTACAGGAAAATTTATAAGACAAAACACCTGTATTAGATAAGGAAAGAAGAAATTTCTCAAAGCTTCCACCTTAGAAAACTAAAAAAACAGGGGATGGGGGCAGGGGTAATAAAACCCAACTAAGCAAAATAACAGAAGTAATAAAGAATAGAAACTGATAAAATTTAAAACAGAAAAACAATAGGGAAAAATTAATGAAACCAAAAGCTGATTCCTTGCGGGGGAAATAAATCAGTAAAATGAATAAACCTCTAGCCAAATGATAAGAAAAAAAAATGACACAAATTACTAATATTAGGAAAGAGGTGACATCACTATGAATTCCACGGATATTAAAAGGACAAGAAAATATCACAATTTTATTCCGATAAATTCAACAATTTATGTGAACTACACAAATTCTTAAAACATACAAACTACCAAAGATGACTTAAAAAGAAGTAGATATCCTGAATTGTTCTGTATCTACTAAAGAAGTTGAATTTGTAGTTTAAAATCTTCACACACACAAAAAATCACTCCCAAATGACGTCACTTGTGAATTTTACCAAACACTTAAAGAAAGAATACCAATTCTAAACAAACTCTTCCAGAAAATTGAAGGAGGAGTGGTAGATAGATATATTTCCCAACATAATCCTATGAGGCCAACATTACCCTGATACTAAAACCAGACAAAAACTTTAAAGGGGAAAAAAAAAGTCAGTATCGTACGAACACAGATGTTAAATTTTTTTTTTTTACAAAAACTTAGTAAACCTAATCCAACAATATATAAATATGACAAAAGGTCAATTGATGACCAATTGCAGTTTATCAAAGAAGGAATGCAAGGCCAACATTTGAAAATCAATCACTGTAATTAGAGGGAATAAAAAATTTTGCACAAAATCTAACATCTAATCCTCATGCAAACACTCAGCTAAGTAGGATAAAAGAATTGGCCGGGCGCAGTGGCTCAAGCCTGTAATCCCAGCACTTTGGGAGGCCGAGGCGGGTGGATCACGAGGTCAAGAGATCGAGACCGTCCTGGTCAACATGGTGAAACCCCGTCTCTACTAAAAATACAAAAAATTAGCTGGGCATGGTGGCACGTGCCTGTAATCCCAGCTACTCAGGAGGCTGAGGCCGGAGAATTGCCTGAACCCAGGAGGCGGAGGTTGCGGTGAGCCGAGATCACGCCACTGCACTCCAGCCTGGGTAACAAGAGCGAAACTCCATCTCAAAAAAAAAAAAAAAAAAAAAAAGAATTTTCTCAATCTGAAGAATATCTATGAAAAACCCAATTAGTAATATACTTAATGGTGAAAGACTAAATGGTTTATTCTTAAGATCAGAAACAATGCAAAGTATTTACTCTCACCACTTCTATTCAGCACTGTAACAGAAGTGTGGCTAGTGCAATAAGGCAAAAGAACAAAATAAAAAATATACATACTGGAACTGTCTTTGTGGGCTGATAATATGATCTATACAGAAAAGCCAGTGGATTTAAAAAAAAAAACAAAAAAACAAAAAAAAAAGCAAATAGAACCAAGTGAATTTAGTTATGTTGCAGGTCTGAACCTAAAAGTATGAGACAGGTTTCAATCAATTTAGAAAGTTTATTTTGCCAAGATTAAGACCATTCCTGTCACACAGCCTCAGGAGTTCTGCCGACATGTGCCCATCTAAGTTGGTTGGGGTGCAGCTTGGTTTTACACACTTCAGGGAGACATGAAACATCAATCATTATGTGTGATGTTCACGGGTTCCGTCCATAAAGGTGGAACAACTAGAAGGGCTAGGAGGTGCTTCCAGGTCACAGGTAGACAAGAGACAAACAGTTGTATTCTTTTGAGTCTTTGATCACCCTTTCACTGAATATACAATTTGTTCGTCACCTGGGTAGAGGAATAATCACTTATGCCTTAATCTGGATTAGTGAACCTATATTTTTACATAAACAATAGGACAGAGGAAGCAATCAGATATGCATTTGTCTTAGGTGAACTGAAGGATAACTTAAGTTCTCTTCTTTGTCCTGCAACTGTGAAGATAAGCTACCAATTTACATTGCCAAGGTGTGATTCAATAAAACTGTTTTAGGGGAAAGATCTTGAGGCCTTCAGGAATTTCCTTATAGGCAAACTGTGAGGAACATATGTAGCTTTTTTTTTTTTTTTATCTTTATAGATATCTTATTTAGAAATAAAATGGGAGGCAGGTCTGCCTGATATATTTCCCAGCTTGAGTTTTTCCCTTTGGCTTATTGATTCTGGGGTCCAGGGATTTATTTTCCTTTAACACAGAATACAGGAGCAACATACAGAAATCAACTGTATTTCTATATACTAACAACTAAGTTAAACTAGAAATTAAATATAAATTTTCAAAAGACCACTTACATTACACTATAATAGCATCTAAATATGTCAACTTTCCCCAAGTAGAACTATAGAGTCAATGTAATTCCAATGAAAAACTCAGACTTTTCCAGAAACTGACAAGCTACTATAAAACATAATACAACATGATTTATATGAAAATGTTAGAGGACTTATACTACCCGATTTAAGACTTATTATAAAGTTACAGCAATTAAGATGGTATACTACAGGCATATAAGAAGACAGACCAATGAAAGAGAAGGGTCCAGAAACAGAACCACATATAAATGGTCAACTGATTTTTGACAAAGGTTCTAGAGTAATTCAGTGGAGAAAGGACAGTCTTTTCAATAAATGAAACTGAAACAACTGGATGCCTAATTGTAAAATTATGAACTTTCATCCACAATATGTACAACTTAACTCAAAATTGACTACATGTCTTAATGTAAAGCCTCAAACTATAAAACTGCTATAAGAAAACGTAGGAAGAAATCTTTGTAATCTTTGGTTAGGCAAAGATTTCTTACATATGATACCAAAATCAGCATCCAGAACAGAAAAGTATTATTAAATTGGATGTCATCAAAATTAAGAACATCTATCCTTTGAAATACTGATTAGAATAAAAAGATGAGCCACAGACAGAAAAAAAAGTGCAAATCACATCTGATGAATTTTAACAATAGAGTGCTCAAAAAAAAAAAAAAACCCAGACAATTTTATTTAAAAATGCACAAAACATCTGAACACTTCACCAGAGAGTATATATTGATGGCAAATAGCACATGAAAAGATGCTCAACATCAATCATCATTGCATTAGGAAAATGAAAACTACAACTATAATGAGGTATCACTACACACTATTAGTTTGGCAGTTTCTTGAAATAGCATATGATTCAGTTATATCACTACATAGTCTTTTTGAGATTTATTCATGTTGATACATGTAACTCTACTTCACTCACTTAAATTGTATAGTCTTCTACTGTATGAACTATACCAGTTTAACAGTTCTCTTTTTGATGGACACTGAGTTTGCTTTCAATTTTTCACCATGACAAAAAATGCTGTTATGATGTTAGACATATCATTAAGAACCTATGAAGTTTCTCTAAGAAATTGCCAAAGTAGTCCTCAAAGTAACCATACTAAATTCACTCCCATTGGTGGTGTGCAACAACTGCTATTGCTCCACTTCCTTAACAATACTTGGTCATCAGAGTTCTTAATTTAACCCAACCTAATGAAAATGGGATGGTATTTCTCTAAGTTGCATTTCCCTATTATTGAGACTGAGTATTGTACTGGTGATTTACATTTTCTTTTTTGTAAACTGCTTATGTGTTTGCTTTGACTTGTTTTCCATTGATTTACATTCACATGTATAATTTAATTTATTGTCTCAATACTTACAGATTATATATGCCAACATAAATAATTAAGACTGTCTCAACTCTCAATCCACTACTTAAGAGCCATGTATCTCAGTTCTTTATCTACAAAATAACAACCTCACAGAGTGGTTATATGGTTATATGATGAGATAAGCCTGTATGATGTAAATACACACGTAATATATATTATGAATATATTATTTCATCGTATAACCATATATTTATATATATACACACATGTAGGCTTATTTTATCATATAACCACCCTGTGAGGTATGTAATCTACATACAAGCAAGATATATATACATACACACACGCGTACACTTCAAGTGCTTAGAAGAGTGTCTGGCACTTTTCAAAAGAAGACATTTATGCAGCCTACAAACATACGAAAAAAAGTTCATCATCACTCGTCGTTAGGGAAATGCAAATCAAAACCACAATGAGATACCCTCTCATGCCAGTTAGAATGGCAATCATTAAAAAGTCAGGAAACAACAGATGCTGGAGAGGATGCAGAGAAATAGGAATGCTTTAACACTGTTAGTTAAATTGTAAATTAGTTCAACCATTGTGGAAGCCAGTGTGGTGATTCCTCAAGAATCTAGACTCAGAATTACCATCTGACCCAACAATCCCATTACTGGGTGTATACCCAAAGGATTATAAATCATTCCACTATAAAGACACATCTACGTGTATGTTTATTGCAGCACTGCTCACAATAGCAAAGATCTGGAACTAACCTAAATGCCCATCAACAATAGACTGGATAAAAAAAAAAAATGCGGCACAGACACACCATAGAATACTATACAGCCATAAAAAAGACTGAGTTCATGTCCTTTTCTGGGACATGGATAAAGCTGGAAACCATCATTCTCAGCAAACTAACACAGGAACAGAAAACGAATACTGCATGTTCTCCCTCATGAGTGGGAGTTGACCAATAAGAACACATGGACACAGGGAGGGGAACATCACAGACCGGGGCCTGTCGGGGGCTAGGGGGGTTAAGGGAGGGATAGCATTAGGAGAAATCCTAATGTAGATGAGGGATTGATGGGTGCAGCAAACCACCATGGCACGTGTAAACCTATGTAACAAACCTGCATGCTCTGTACATGTATCCCAGAACTTAAAGTATAATGAAAAAAAACAAAAACAAAAATAAGAGTGTCTGGAACATATTATGTACTATACAATTATTAGCTATTATTGTTTCATACAGTCTTTTGCTAGTAGTATCATTTACAAATGTTGTACTGGCCCGAGCATAGAAAGTCAACACCAAGACAAAAGTATGCCAAATTGCAGGGTCTTTATTGCCGGTAGCCACGGAGGACTCGCATCTCTCCAATCCGTGGCCCTGAAAGGAGGGTGTCGAGACATTTTATACCCGTAAAACCACCTCAGGGGTGCGGGTGAGGGGCAGGGGTGGGGGTGAGGGGCTTCAGACATTCCGAGGGCTAGTGGATTCTGTAAATCACCTCCTGGGTGAAGACTAGGGTGAGGGGCTCCAGACATTCTGAGGGCCAGGGGACTTTTGACATTCTGATTGTTACTTAAGTGGTTCATAAAAGTCAAGATAAGTGTTAGTTTACATGTTGTCTGGGTAGGGTGGAAATCACAGACCTTAATTACTTATTACAAGTCGCAGCGGCCAAGATGGCGTGGGTTTGGACTGCTTGCCTGTCACATTAGGGGTTATGGGGAGCAGTTTCAACAGAAAGCCGAGGTATGGTTGAGGTATGCAGTTTTATGTGGCTTTTACCATGTCACACAAATACTTTCTCATTCTGACTTAACTGTTTTGTGGGTCAAGATGGCCAGGGGGAGACCTATGTTAATTCTAGCTAAATAATTATAAGCTTGCTTGGCTCAGAGTAGACCGAAGTTTATACACCGCACTAAACTGTATTATTAGTGCAGTTAATTAGAAATCAAGCAGCAACAGGAGGTCTAAGGTAAAGACCATGTGAGAGCTCAGTAATACCGGGGAATACAGGGGTGGCTGCAGAGCAGGCAATACTGCTCTGGTCCCATGAACACCTTTTCAACATGGAGACTGCATGAGGGTCTCGTAAAGAAGGCTTATGCAAAGATCTCTGAGAAGGGAGGCTACCTCTGCTCACAAGATCCGGGAGGGTCTTTGCAGATGGGAGCTGGTAAGGAGAAAACCCTTGTAGGGCAGAGATCACAGAACACCTCAGGCTCAGCCTAGGTTCTTGGAATATGGAGTGATTTTAATTGCTCTGTGTCCTCAATGCTCTGGAGACAAAAGCCCCTTGATGCACTGGGTGTCCTCAGACAGGATGCCATCCCCTGTGATTCTGATGCAGCCACACCCTGATAACAATCGGTGATAAACTCAAGAGCACTAGTTTAGCACATCTTAGAAGGTCTCAAGTACTGTTAATTGCTCAGAACACCAGCTTAGCATGTTTTAGAAAGATCTCAAGTGCTCCCCTCCCCATCTTACCTACCCCTTCACCCTCTACTTCCACGCCCATAAGATCAATGAAATTATGCACATAAAAAAAGTGCTTGGGTTCCCAGGCTTGCATTGGTCCCCGGGACCCATGCTATAAATTCTACTCTTGTGTCTCTGTCTTTATTTCCTTTTTTCAGTCCCTCTTCACCCACATACCCAGTTGGGGCTGGTACCCAACATGTTTATTTTGTTTAAAATGTGTTTATTAAAGAGGAAATTCTAAGTTTTACTAGAGCCATATGTTCATTCTTTCTCTTTGATGTCGATGTTCTTGAAACACTATTCTTTTCCCTGATGTACCATTTCTTCGTAAGAAAAGTCTGACACTTTCACATCTTCATTTAATCTTACAGGACAAAAATCTGATCTGCTCAACTTTCAAGTTATATTCACATTTATCCCTAATATTAAAATTATTCTGTTCTCCAAAACAAAATCCTATCTTTTATTACAAAACATAGCTGTTCCTAATCAGAGGGTAAATTTATATCTTAGCAAAACAAGGTAAGACTTAAAACACACAACTACATACAGTCAATTCTCCATATCTGTAAGGTCCTTATCTGTGGATTCTGCACTAGCAGATTCAACCAGCCACAGATCAAAAATATTCAATAAATTTACAATCACTCTTACCCTATGACATCTTTCAAAGGCTTGTTTGGTTTCTTGTAGAAGATTAACCACCACTTCTTGGGAAAGAAAAGTTTCCCCATGAGTATCGATACTTGGCCCAAGTGGTAGGTTGGTACGTTGCCTAATTCTCTCCTTTAAATCTTGAATACTAGTACATCATAAAGACAAATGAAAAAAAGAAAACACTTTACTTAGATTTCAACTTCAAGTACTTCTAAACTTAATATACATCAACAACAACAAAAATGGACCAATGGCCAAGAGACTGCAGTTCTAATTCCAGTAACTAGTTTTGTGAAATAAAGCAAGCCTTGATCTCTAAACAGAAGATTTGCATCTGATAAATGAGTAAATTTGGACTTCTAATTCTGAAGTCACTTTACAATTCAGCCTTACAATTCTGACTCAATAGCAAAACTTGCTGGGTTTCTTTAGGAAGTCAGCTATTCCAAATAGATTAGCATTCTAAATAACTAAATAATTCTGTTTAAAAAGGAAACTTCATAATTTTAATAGTCATTTTAAGATTTTTCACATTTATTCATGATATTAAACAAGATGTATTAAACATAATTTAGCTATTCTTAATTACTGAGGGTCACCTGAAACACTTACATGGGGTATCTTTGGAATGTTAGACCTTTTTTTGCTCCTAGGATGTGTAATTCCAGACTACCGTAAACTCACTAAAAAAAAAAAAATTCCTATTACTCATTAGTTTTTCTTTTCCCTTCCTTGCTACTACCAGGTATTATCTCTTACTACTAATTTTAACTCCCTCTAATCATTATTTAATACACAACAAAATGGGAAATAAGAAACTGGTTTGGATACATATGTGTGGGGATTCTGGACTATGTGTGACTCCACTGTCCTTCTGTCTCCTTTTAGAATCAACTGGGTTCTAGGCAGTTAAAGCCTGGCAGCTGAGATGCCAACTATTCTTACAGCAAGTTATTTTCTTCTAGTCTGTGAACAACTGAGGCTTTAAGGTATTAATTTAACAGTTTTTTACGCTAAAGTCTCTGAACAAAACTCATCAATTCAAGATACTTAAACTGCAAACTATTTTCTATTTTTTTCACACCTGCAACAATAACCAAAAAATGATGTGTTTCCTGGTCAATAACCTGGAATTTATTCTATCTAGAAAAAAAAATGAAAGAAAACTATGGAATCTTTTATATTACCATGTTCTGTTTTACTTTTGAGACAGGCTGGAGTGCAATGGCTCAATCTCAGTTCACTGCAAGCTCCACCTCCTGAGTTCAAGTGATTCTCCTGCCTCAGCCTCCCAAGTAGCTGGGATTACAGGTGCCCGCCACCACATCCGGCTAAATTTTTGTTTTTAGTAGAGATGGAGTTTCACCATGCTGGCCAGGCAGGTCTCTCAAACTCGAAATCTCAGATGATCCACCTATCTCAACCTCCCAAAGTGCTGGGATTACAGGTGTGGGCGACCTCGCCCAGCCTACATTTTAATCATGTTATGTTAGATCATTTCAACATGTGGTTTAAGAGCAAGATTTGATTGATAACATAACAATCTGAATTAAAAGAACTCTTCATAGAAAATTCTAATGATAGTCAACATTTGATAAACTTGCCCAAATATAATAAAGTTACTAAAGTCTTTAGTTTTAATGGTAATATTTAACAAAGACACTCACCCTCCTGTGCCAATGGATCTCTTTTGATGGTTTTTCGAATCGTAATAGCGCTGTAGGATCATAGCACTTCTGCTTTTCAAATATCCAGTCTCCACCTCAATATAGTTCTCCAAATAGGAAATGAAAATGGATTTGATAAGCTTAGACAAGAAAGTCTGTTTATCAGTACCTAAATTAAACTCCATCAACTTGCTGGAAAGACTGCTGGTTCTTTTCATGGAAAAGAGGAAGAAAAACATTAACACATGCTTTAGGTATAGTAACAATACTAAGGAATACAAATTTTTACAATGTGACTTTAATGACTTGTGTTAAGCCACCATTTCTTAAACTATCGGAGAGTACTTAGGATGCAGAAATCAACTCTACGGGGTTACATATAGAGTGTAATATTATGAGCAACTTTATGGTTTTGAGAACTGTTATAAATTCCTAGGAAAAGAAAATGTGAGGCAGTATACCACTCCAGAAATAGTGGCAGTGGCAGACTGGCCTCAAGTCTGTCTAATGCCATTATTTATCACATGGTACCCAAAACAGAGTACTAAGAGGTCTACTCTCCACCCTCTTTTGTCTTTGTCCCTGTGGACTTTCCTCTAATTTTCTATTTCCCATTACCGAAAATAGGGTCATAACAGTGTTGCTATTGACATGGACTTCCTCATTTGGAAAAACCTTCTCCCAAAATGAAGACACTGAAGAATAGTAATAGGATTGGGAAAAGTCAAGGAATAAAAACAAACAAAACTATGTATGAAGCTTCTGAGACAACCTCTAAGAGTAACATTGACATTTACAAGCACAAGACAAATTCCTACAGCTGAAATTGTCATTTGTTAAGATTACATCACTTCCTTTTGCAGTTTCTAAAGTTCTGATTGCATATAAATGTAATTACATTAATAATTAGAGACAAGATAAAGCATATCCAACTCCTCAATGTATTAAGAATGTTCTACAATACATTATCGTACAATACTAGTCTCTACAGCCAAGCATTTAATGCTAAAAGGTAAACTGCTGACAAAATACCTGAATACTTCATTTTTATCAAAGTAAAAATCTGATATTATTTTCTAATCACTAAAAATTTTACCTTGTATACAGATCATAGAGATTTTTGAGATACTGCTCTGCATCAGACTTCCTGCATTCTTCTAACTGCTCTTTCACAAAACTCTAAAAGAAAAAGGTGAACAGTATGTTAATTAGGTAAATATTAAATTCTATAACTTTTCAAGATATTTTTCTTTAAAATTCACTCCACAGTATTGAACTTTTCTGACTTACAATCCAATCAAAAAGGCAATGTACAGAAAACAGACCAATCAGAAAAAATTTTCAAACAGGTTTTAAAAATTTATCACTTCTCATATTTACCTGTAGAGGATCTATATCAGTCTTAGGAGTAAGTATTAAGAATTCAGAAATACCTTTTCTTTTAAACTGGCCTATTCTGCTCTGTGAGGTATATCAAAAAAACAAAAACAAAAAACAAAACTGAGAGTACAAACAATAGAGTGAATTCCTTAAAGCAGCATTTCCCAAACTGAGCTCCAGGCAACAATAGTGTTCAGACATCCACAGGCATGCTTTAAAATAGGCTTTTTTGGACAGGAAATGTGTTAAATGCTGTATATTACAACCCCATTTCTAGAGAATTACAACACACATTAGTACATTAAAAGACTATCAAAAGTCCTGAATTGTGTTAAAAAATAAAAATAAAAAAGCAAAAATTTATTGAATGTTGTTTAATCCAGTGGTAAACATAGTTTAGAAAATGTTGTCTAAAAGTACCGTGATATGGGGGATAAATTAAATTTCTGTGTTTTCCCTTTTCACATTAGTACCATATTATTAAAAATTCTACAGACAACTCTTGTAATTCTTATTCAGTTTCACAAATGACATCTATTGGTGAAGGCAGGGACCAAAAAAAAAGAAAAATCCCCAAGGCTATCTTACCACAATATGTTATATTACTACTACAATGAAACACAAATTTCAAGCGTGTTCTCTGATGATACTTATTGATTAGCACTTTTCTCTTAGTGAATAACAAAACTTTTTTTAAAAGTAGGAGGATTCCTTTCTCCTTAACTACATTACTATTTCTAAGGTCACTATATAAGTAAACTAAATTTTAAGGATACTTTTAAAATATAGGGGAAAAAAATTACACACTGCTTTAAGAACTATTTGTTACTATTTAAAATTACCTGTAGTTTGATTTCAAATACATTTTGAATAAGTTTGGCCAGTACTGTTTCTGGATTACTGAAGATATCTCCAACTTGTTTGTTCACTCTTTGACAGAGTACTGCAGCATCTTCAAATATATCGTTCCTTAAATAAGCACCCTAAACAGCAGAGTTATTTTACACAGTGAATATATAATTTCTAAATGATATTAAAAGACCAATTAGCATAAAGTAAAATCCAATAAAATGTACTGTTATGTTACCTCCTGGCACTGCTTTATATAAACATCAACACAATGGGAATAACCCTACAAGGAAGAAACATATTGTTATTATTCTGATTCAATTATAATAATTATTATTTCAATAAAAGCGTTACATGTCATAAAGCTATATCTATTTACTAATAAATGGCCAATAGCAACAGCTATTGGACTTAAATAAAATTAACTGTAGAAAACCAGTAACTTAACAAAGGCATCTTCTCCCTAGTGACTTCTATGATGAAATTTATCAGTTGGTACATATCCTTGTTGAACCTTAGACTGAAACAAGAAAGCTGAAGTATATAACTGAGTTCTTTAATTTTTGTCCTGTAATCATCTAGCCATCTCCTTCCACTACAAAACAAACCCACTCACACACACCTACCAAAATGCATACACACAAACACACACAATGAGTGGGAAAAGGTTTTACATATATGTGTGTGTGTGTGTGTGTGTGTGTGTGTGTGTATTTTATATACATATAAAAATATTTATGTATTTAAAAGTGTGTGTGTGTGTGTGTACATATATATAAATTAAAAAGTATGTATACAGGGATTCACTCCATCACCCAGGCTGGAATGCAATGGTGTGATCTTGGCTTACTACAACTTCTGCCTCCCAGGCTCAAGTGGTCCTCCTGCCACAGCCTCCCAAGTAGCTGAGGCTACAGGAACACGCCTCCATGTGCAACATGAGCAACATAAGAAGTGCACTACTGTCTCAAGAGCCATTCTCAGTACTCATTGAGACTGCATCAAAACGAAAAGTCCAACAAAAATAGCTTCCCTTTCCCCAATCTGATACAAATCAAATAAACAAATTGAAGGATGAATCATTTCTTCAAGCACTTTTTTGCAGAAATATATGCCTATACAGGAATTCTCTCCCAAGTTCACATTCTAGGAAAACAATTCCATAATACAACATTCTTTTGTATTACCTCCTGACATCCCCTGGATTTAAGTCTTTTACTAGTCATATTCCACCTGCTCTCTGGTTCCTATATTCTACCAGATATTTACGGTTAAGATTTCTTTCTTTTCACCTATATCATAATACATAAAAGCAAAAAAGCAAGCTGGGCACAGTGGCTCATGCCTGTAATCCCAGCACTTTGGGAGGCTGAGGCAGGAAAACTGCTTGAACTCAGGAGGTGGAGGTTGCAGTAAGCCAAGATTGTGCCACTGCATTCTAGCCTGGGAAACAGAGCAAGACTCTGTCTCAAAAAAACAAAAATAAAAAAACAAAAAACCAACAAAAAGCAAAAAGGCAAAAAATATGATTTTCTTTATCAAACTATAAAAATATTTAATTGATAAATCAATTTTAATTCAATTAGTATTATTTAATATAAAATCTTAAATATCCAACATTTAATACCTCTTACAGAGTGTAAAATGTACAAATTATCAAAAACAATAAAAATTACCACTGTGATATAGTTACATAACGAATGGGGGAAAATTAGAGGCTATCATACATAGAACTTGGAAAATTTCCGTAACCTTGAAAACTAGTCTTCATTTATAATTCTTACTATTTACCTTAAAATGAAGTAAAACTGCTGCTACTTCTCTCATTCTGGAGATTTCACCTCTTCTTTGAGCACTGGTAAATTCCTGAATCAGCTGGCATTCTAAATCATGGTATTTACCTAAAAATAAAGTCATTCAGTTACACTGAGGCATACAAGGTATCCAAGTTTTTTAAGAGTATCTACATTATTTACAAATACAGTAACTATGAATATAGCTTTCTTTTGAAGGAATCACAAAAACAACATGAGATTACAGGCAGTGAACCTAGCCCGTTATATACTTCAGCATACGAATCTACAATTTCAAAACAAAAGACTTCCAAACTGGTAAAACTGCTGAGATTTCCGGAGTCTGACTATCATTTGCCACTGTTACTTAAACCAGCAGCTGACTGGAAAAAATCCTCCAGATGCTATTTCTGATAGCAATATATACAAAAAATCTTACTCATGAAGCTATGGAAAGGGTGAAAAGGACTACGGAACTCTTTTTACAGAGTTCTGATGCCTCTACCATGAACAATAGTGGACCAATGACTGAACACCAAATCTCATCCTGATAATATGCAGTATTCATATTTTTTTCCTTTTTCTTTGTGAGAGAGTTTCGCTCTGTCACCCAGTCTGAAGTGCAGTGACGTGATCTTAGCTCACTGCAACCTCCACCTGCCGAGTTCAAGCGATTCTCCTGTCTCACCCTCCACCTGTCGAGTTCAAGTGATTCTCCTGCCTCAGCCTCCCAAGTAGCTGGGATTACAGGTGCCCTCTACCCTACCTGGCTACTTTTTGTATTTTTAGTAGAGACGGAGTTTCACCATGTTGGCCAGGCTGGTCTCAAACTCCTAACTTCAGAAGATCTGCCCGCCTCAGCCTCCCAAAGTGCTTGAATTACAGGTGTAAGCCACCGTGTCCAGCCCTATTCACTATATTCTTGAGGTTGGTACAGTTCTTAATGAACACTTGAACTTCAAACTAATCTATTGTGATAAAAAATATTCTCAGCAAGTCTAACTAGCTATGTCATCCTTATTCTAAGACTTTTTTGAGAAAATACATGAATCTTTGAATCTTCTATGCAGTGGCCCACTCTAAACAGTCACCCTGGCTACCATGGAACCTGCAAATTTAGTCGTATTTTCAAAAACCTAGAATGATCTAAAATAAAAGACAAGACTGGCAAAAACCAAACTAATCATGCAAGGAGTTAAACAGATACCAAAATGCTTACATAATCTTAAACAAAAGAGAGAGAATCTTATTCAGAGATACATGTATGGAAAGCATACAATTTCCAAAATACACTGTTAAATTAAAAATGCACATAGTATGGTAGCAATTATGTAAAAATAAATAAGGATAGAAGTACATATAAATGTCTATACATACACACATATATGCACACAGATATATATAGAATTTATGTCTTATGCCTGTATATCCATAGATTATTCTGCAAGAATATAAAAAAAAATGGTAATAGTTGTTTTCAGGGAAGAGAAATCAAACTGAGAGATCGGGTAGGAAGATGACATTATTCCCACTTTTTCTCCTTTTGCTGTTTTATTTTTACCCAAGTAGTTTTTTTTTTTTTTTTTACTTATTATAGAAAAGTAAAATAAATACAACATCACTTACTTGCAATTTTCGATTTAACTTCTGAAAATCTGAAAGACAAAAACCAACGATGAGGTTCGTTAGTTGTGACAAACATCCTACCCCAATTTAAGATGTTAACAAAAGGGAAAACTGAGTGCAGGTTATATGAGAACCATCCGTACTATTTTTGCAATGTTTCTGTAAATCCAAAACCATTATAAAGTTAAATGGTTATTGTAAAAAGAAAAAAGACAAAGTCAGAAGAGAAAATACTGATAGGAAGCACGCCAGGTGATAAAACTGAATGTAGGTAATTCAGATGGGGTAGCTGGTTCTCATTTAGGAAATTCACACATTGAAATTTGATTCCCTTTTAAAAGAATCAACTGCTCTGCATAAGGCACTAATAGCCAGTCCCGAAACTGAGTTACTATTCTTATATTTGCTGGCATTTTAAATGCACTTGATTATTTGTCTTCCTCCCCATGGTTGGTATTTTTAAAAATAAAGTTCTATCACTATTATTTAAAAGAAAAAGATGATCGATGATCAAATAATATACTATATTATAATGAAATATTAATGACAAATGATAAAAGGACCCAGCAATGTGCCTAGCAGAGTTGCCATTCAACCTTTACAAATTAAAAAGCTAAAATACCACACATTAGGATTTTTTCATATATTAAATGTCAAAGTGAAATGCACAGCATGAAAAAGAAATCTTTTAAGATCTTGTGCAATTGTTTGAAGAGAGGAGAGTAGCTACCAAAAGAGACACCAAAGACAAATGAAGAAGGAAATAAAAATCTAGAGTGTTATACAATGATGTATTAAAGTCATAGCAGATCAGATCGCATATAAGGCCATCTTAATCTGTGTGAAAAAATTGAGTCGAAATAAGATATATATTCAACTCCAAGGCTTGGTGAAGAGGCTAAAACAAAACCATAAGAGAAGTATGTACCTGAGTGATGAATACGAGTATGAGAGAGAGAGCGGGGTTGGGGGAGAGAGAGTGTGTGTGTGTATGCATGTGTGTTCTGGAGTGGAAAAACAGAATGAAGAGAGTATGGGGGGGGGGTGCAGTCAATAATTATCATGAACCTATTATGAGCTAGACATTTTATCCATTTAAGTAAATAGTCCAATTCTGAAATGAGATAAAGTTAAAGAGAAGTGTTAAGTGTTGGTGGGTGACTTTAAAAATTACTACAGTAAGTTAAATCATAAAGCTGGGCAACTACCGTATTATTATTAAGAATGAGAGATGATCATTATTGCTAATTTTTCATGGTTATCAGACTTGATAATAAAACAGATACATTTTTGGGGGAATTCCACTGCATGTTTGGGAGATAATGGTTAAGCTTTAAGTATAGCAATATATCGTATTTTATCTGTTCCTAAGATTTTCAAGTATCATCAAAAAATAACTGTTTATTAATATATATTATTTGAAATACAGTAAATCATATTTCCTTCAAATATTCACATGGAAGACGCACTATTTTACCAAGAGTTTATTAAAGAGTCTGACATTCCAAGGCTGGGCACGGTGGCTCAAGCCTGTAATCCCACCACTTTGGGAGGCCGAGGCGGGTGGATCACGAGGTCAAGAGATCGAGATCATCCTGGTCAACATGGTGAAACCCCGTCTCTACTAAAAATACAAAACATTAGCTGGGCATGGTGGTGCGTGCCTGTAATCCCAGCTACTCAGGAGGCTGAGGCAGGAGAATTGCTTGAACCCAGGAGGCGGAGGTTGCGGTGGGCCGAGATCGCGCCATTGCACTCCAGCCTGGGTAACAAGAGCGAAACTCTTGTCTCAAAAAAAAAAAAAAAAAAAAAAAGTCTGACATTCCATAGACTAGAAGAAATCATGAAAAAATCTCCTTCTCAGTGGATAATTTATTTTAGGATGAAATCTAACTTAGCAATGGCTCTGGGGCTCTGCATTTTTGAAAAAGGGGTTCTTAACCTGAAGTCCCTAGGAACAGTTCTGTGGATAGAGTCTAAAACTCCATGAAATTGTAAACAATAACCTGAGTATCTTAATTTCCTGAAGAAAGGTGATAGCTTTCATCAGCTTTTCAAAGGTGCCCAAGGCCCCCAAAAGCATAAGAACCTTCATCAAGAAATAGAAAAAGTGGTCTCTCTATCCCCTACCTGGTTCTCAAAGTCCAAAATATGAAAATCCAAATTTTACCTTAGTCGATTTCAAAATCCTCCATCCAATTTTTTTTTAAAAAAACAGAGATTGAAATTATTTCAAGGCCTATCATTAAATTTAGATATTAAGAACAGACTATATTATTTCAATAAACTATTTTATACTGCACCTTGTACAAAGTGAATGAACTAGCAAGTAAATGATCCAGTAAGTGCTCAATAAATTCTTGTTTAATTAATGAGCAAAGAAAACTGTACAGGAAAAAACCACAATTTTATTTTATAAATTATACTATACATTCAAATTAACTCTTGAGAAATGTACTTGCCTATCAAAGGGTAACTCTTGGGCAATTAGGTGCAACTTCTGAATGATGTCTGCTGCTTCCTTTATCTATTAAAAAATAAATAAAAACAATTAAAAAACTTTTAGGCATATCATATCAAAAAATAATTATATATTTAAAATTAGTAATATCTCCCTGTATCTGTCCACAGTCCCTTCCCTTAAAAAGTTTCCTTTAAAAATCCACAACAAATAAAACTTCATGAGCAACAAGAATACATTTGGGGTGTTACCAATAACGAGTCAATAAAACATAAACATTTATCTTTCTGGTACTGAAATTCTGTGATTTTTTTGATGCCACAATCCCTTCCCCAAAAAACCTGAAGTTCAAGTTTATTCTGAAGAAATTTTAGAAACCAAATGTAAATCTCTTCAGTTGATGAATCCAAAAAGGATCAACAAGATTTATAAAAATGATTTAGGGCATACTGCCACATACATCCTACATTAAGCTAAATGCCTATTATTTAATAATCATATGAATTTATAACACTTGTAAAAGCAAAGATAAAGTTTAATGTAAAGCCCCTGGATGAAATATAATACAGAAATGTGTGTATTTATTCAAGTTGTGGAACTAAGGAACTTGGGCAAGAGTTTTAAAATTCTTTAATGCAGGTATCTGAGCTTATTTACACAATAGTATAGGGGAGCTCTATAATGTTCATTTATTCTTTAAATTTCAAATTAGTTCTTAGTTTTACTTTGACACAATTTTAAAGCTGATTTTATGAAGATTCATTTTATTTTACATTTGAAAAAACAGTGACTCAATAACATGAAAGAAGAGCTAAGAACATCAATATAGATTTTTTTTTTCTTTTTTTTTGTTTTGTTTTTGGAGAGAGTCTCGCTTAGTGGCCCAGACTGGAGTGCAGTGGTGTGATCTCGGCTCACTACAATCTCCATGTCCCACGTTCAAGCTATGCCCATGCCTCAGCCTACCAAGTAACTGGGATTAAAGGTGTGTGCCACCACACTCGGCTAAATTTTGTTTCTTTTTTTTGAGACGGAGTTTCACTCTTGTTACCCAGGCTGGAGTGCAATGGCGCGATCTCGGCTCACCGCAATCTCCGCCCACCTCCTGGGTTCAGGCAATTCTCCTCCCTCAGCCTCCTGAGTAGCTGGGATTACAGGCACACACCAGCATGCCAAGCTAATTTTTTGTATTTTTAGTAGAGATGGGGTTTCATCATGTTGACCAGGATGGCCTTGATCTCTTGACCTCGTGATCCACTCGCCTCGGCCTCCCAAAGTGCTGGGATTACAGGCTTGAGCCACCGCGCCCAGTCCTAGTTATCTTCTTCTAAAACACAAAATTGTTCATGTCATTCACTTACTTAATTTTCAATGGTTTTCTGTTTTTATGATAAAGCCTAAATTAACTAGGATAACATTTTAAAGAGGTTTTTTTTTGAGACAGAGTCTCTGTCCTGCTGTATATGGGCAGATACCACTGCAGTATCTGTCCTCACCATGCCATTTAGTTGTATTAGCAAAGTCCATAATTTTCTCCTCACCAATATCCCCTTCAGAAATAATATGCTTGGCACACAGCCTGCTCTATGTTTCTATCAGGAGTTTGTTTTTGTTATTTCAAGAAGTCATCATTACGTGCTATTTGCAAACTTTGTTTAATGTACTAACTAGTATAGAGGTAAATGGCACTTGTTTTTATTGAATTTTTTAAAATAATTATTTTATAAAATTATTTTATAAAAATTGTGTAGTTGCGCGCGGTGGTTCAAGCCTGTTAATCCCAGCACTTTGGGAGGCCCAGATGAGTGGATCACGAGGTCAAGAGATCGAGACCATCTGGTCAACATGGTGAAACCCCGTCTCCACTAAAAATACAAAAAAAAATTAGCTGGGCATGGTGGCGCGTGCCTGTAATCCCAGCTACTCAGGAGGCTGAGGCAGGAGAATTGCCTGAACCCAGGAGGCGGAGGTTGCAGTGAGCTGAGATCGCACCATTGCACTCCAGCCTGGATAACAAGAGCGAAACTCCGTCTCAAAAAAAAAAAAAAAAAATTGTGTAAAGCACAGGTAGCTCTTAAGGTTACAATAGTATGACACATTTAGTCAGTTAAAACATACTACAACAATAAGTAACAAAAGCTGTCAAAAACTATAATCTAGTGGTTACTGTTATTTGGGTGAGGTAAGAGACTACCCTTGCTAATAGTGTTAAAGATAATCACAGTCATCAAGTATTATTCACATAATAAAACAGTAAGCTGACACTCTAGGTTAAAAAAAAAGAAAACCCATCATACATGTAAGAGAGGTAAACATATAGTAAGGTTTTTTTTTCAGATGAGAAGAGTCCCTTTTTTTTTTTTTTCCTTGAAACAAGGTCTATCTGTCACCCAGGCTGGAGTGCAGTATTGCAATCAAAGCTCACTGCAGCCTCAACCTTCCGGGCTCAAGTAATCCTCCTCCCTCAGCCTCCTGAGTGCCAGGACTATGGACATGTGCCACAACAACCAGCTAACATATATATATGTTTTGTAGAGACAGGGTTTCACCATGCTGCCTGGGCTCGTCTCAAACTCCTAAGCCCAAGCAATTGTCCTGCCTTGGCCTCCTAAAGTGCTGGAATTGTAGGCATGGGCCACCATACTCAGACAAGATTATAAAAAGGAACATTAAAAAAACAAAAATGACTAGGGGGCAAGAAGAAAAATAACATGATGTGTTGATATCTTATCCCATTCTAATTCCTCCCACAATCACACATTGGTCTAGCTCTGTGGGTGCTTTCCTTTTCTTTCCATTGGAAAGGTGACTGGTACAGAGTCCAGAAATTGAGATAGCTAAGAGTTTATCTAATAATTGGCAATCTAATACAATATGAGTTCTTAAGGATGGCTAAGTGGTAGAACGAGGCCAAAAATGAATTCAACTGCAAAGATATGGAAAAAATCTAAGTGCCCATCAAGCCATGAGCAGATAAAGATAAATATGGTATATTTATACCATGGAAAACTACTCAGCCACAAACAGGAACTAAATAATGTCTTTTGAAGCAACATGAACGGAGCTGGAGGCTATTAATCTAAATGAAGTTACTCAGGAATGGAAAACCAGATACCATATGTTCTCACTTATAAGCGAGAGCTAAGCTATGAGGACACAAAAACATACAGAGTGATATAATGAACTTTGGGAACTCTAAGTGGGGAAGCTGAGTGGGGAATAAGGGATAACAGACTACATACTGGGTACAGCGTACAATGTTTGGGTGAAAGGTGCACTAAATCTCAGAATTTACCGCTAAAGAACTTATCCTTATAACCAAAAAACCACCTGTACTCCAAAAACTACTAAATTTTTCAAAAACACCTTTTATTTAGAGGAATTATCAGGACACACATAACTATTTTTCAAAGAACTCTAAAAATTATATATTCTATAACCCTATAGAGTTCTATTTTTTTAAAATGTGTTGCTTAATTCAAACTTATTGTCAGTAATAATTAGCCTTTACATCCCACTATCTGAAATATTCTATGGAGTAAATCTAGAATAATTCCGAAAGACTATTCAATACATGAGTGGACAATGTTGCAACGCACATATACGATCCATAAGAATGTCCATTTTCTCCGCATTTTGATTTTTTTTCCCCTGAGGGGAAGAAAGTGAGCTATATTATCTTCTTTCAAGATTGTAGAGCAGCCAATACCATGTACCCTTAGACCAGGAGCAAGAGACTAGTGCTATGAAAAGGATTAACAAACAATTCAGAATTTTTTTCAATTCATCCTGGTCCAAACTGCTTTAATTCTTTATAAGAGATCTTTATTCAAGTAATAAAAAGTAGAAGTTCGAATTCCTTATTCCTTTACAAAATGGCATTTCAGCTTATCAATGATTTATGTCAGACCACCACATCACCACCCAATGGACTGTAACTATTTTTTTTTTTTTTTTTTGAGACGGAGTTTCGCTCCTGTTACCCAGGCTGGAGTGCAATGGCGCGATCTCGGCTCACTGCAACCTCCGCCTCCTGGGTTCAGGCAATTCTCCTGCCTCAGCCTCTTGAGTAGCTGGGATTACAGGCACGCGCCACCATGCCCAGCTAATTTTTTTTGCACCTTTAGTAGAGACGAGGTTTCACCATGTTGACCAGGATGGTCTCGATCTCTTGACCTCGTGATCCACCCGCCTCAGCCTCCCAAAGTGCTGGGATTACAGGCTTGAGCCACCGCGCCCGGCCGGGACTGTAACTATTTAAAGACCACAGAAATTCTGTTATTATTGAAAGACATCTGTGAGATACTTATGAACACAGTTACCACAGCAATTTTAAGCCACAAAAAAATTTTGTCAAAAAAAGCCAGGAAATTTCATCAAAAAACACCAGAACAATAAAAGCTTTTAATAAGTCAGCTACTCAGTGATTTGAAGTCTAACTCTCGAAAGTTATTATTGCAGCTCATAATTAAGGCACTGTTATTAATGTTGTGATTGGTTTTATCCTTTGACAGCACTTACCTTTTCAGAATTTATAAAAACATCAGATTTCAATTCTCCATCTAGAAACTCATTAAAGTATTTCATCAATTTCTGAGCCTCCACTGCCCGTTGTCTGGGTGTGTTTACCCCCTCCAACTGGTCTCCAAGGTGACACACTTTAGTTGCTACATAACTAATGTGCTCATCCAGTTCTTGGAAATGTAGGAAGGCAACCTAGGAAAAATGTGCATAAGCATAAAATATAATCAGTGTACTCAGTTTGAAAGTAAATACACATCAAAACCAAACCACTAATCTCATTGCTACTAACTAATGATAATAGAAGTTATATATGAGATAATCTACAAAATTCATGCTCATTAGAGTGATATGATCCGAAAACCTGTTTGCAAACTATTAAAAATAATCATATTTATCATGAGTACACTTACTAATCAACAAAAAAGCAAACAAAAACAGTTATTTACTCCTCTTCCTGTTTTAACAAAAAATTCAACACCATTTAGCCCCAAATAATGATTCTGAAAACAATTAGTTAAGTATCAATAGGATCACACATCTACAGAGCTCTCTTGCTACTGAAGTGAAAAGAATAAAAAATATGTCAGTAGGAGGCCAAGGCAGGCAGATCACTTGAGGTCAGGAGTTCGAGACCAGACTGGCCAAAATGGTGAAACCCCATCTCTACTAAAAATACAAAAATTAGCTGAGCATGTGTGGAGGTGGGCACCTGTAACCCCAGCTGGTCAGGAGGCTGAGGCAGGAGAAGCACTTGAACTCAGGAAGCAGAGGTTGCAGTGAGCCAAGATCGTGCCACTGCACTCCAGCCTGGGCAACAGAGCAAAGCTCAGCCTCAAAAAGAAAAAAAAAAAAAAAAAGAAGTCAGTAGTAAAATATACCAATTTATTTTAAATATTTACAAAGTGATGTTTACATATAAAGTAAAATAGCTCTTTCCCAGTTTTGAAAACAGAAAAGTAGTAATTATACTACTAAGGCAAAAGTATATTTTACTTTCTAGAATATTCTTTCCCTTCTCATGGGGTATACTCATTGGCCTGTGGCATATGGAAATTGTGTGCAAGAGAAGAACTGCTGATAATCTAATGTGGGACTTTTGTTCTAACCTTAAATTGAGGTGGAGAGCTGTAAACGTTTATTGAGGACTTTCTCTGTGCCAGACTAGACACTGTTCTAAGCATATTATATGTAGTTACTTATATAATCCTCTCAACAACACATTTTACAGATTTTAAAAAAAATGAGGCATGAAAAGGTTAAATTGCTTGAGATTACACAGATGATAAGTGGCAGAGCTAAAACTCAAACTCACGCAGATTGGCTCCAGAGTTTATTAGCTTAACTATTAATATTATTATTATTACCAAGGGAAAACTGCATTAGAAGTACTTGGAAACTGTCACCTTAACTACTTTAAAATGCATTCCTTATCTTAAATTACTGACTTCCTTATTTCTCATAGCCACATATGTTTAAGTGATGGACTCTAAAACATTGAAACTTTAGCAGAAATCAGTTTGCTAATCCCTGGGAGGCAGCAAAGCTAAAGAATCTTCAAAACTAGACTAAGGCCAAAAGCAGTAGCTCACACCTGTAATCTTAGCACTTTGGGAGGCCAAGACAGGCAGATAACCTGAGGTCAGGAGTTCAAGACAAGCCTAGCCAACATAGCAAAACCTCTACTAAAAATGCAAAGAAATTAGCTGCGTGTGGTAGTGTGCACCTATAGTCCCAGCTACTCAGGAGGCTGAGGCAGGAGAATCACTTGAACTTGGGAGGTGGAGGTTGCAGTAAGCCAAGATTACATCACTGCACTCCAGCCTGGGCGCAGAGTAAAACTCTGTCTCAAAAAAAAAAAAAAAAAAAAAAAAGGAGGGGGGGTAGGTAATCAAATTCCAGATAAAGCCCAGCCTGTAAATGGGATTCGGAGGTTCTCATTAAGTCTAGGACCTAAGGATGACTAAGAAGTTTGGCCTGCTTAGCCCCAGGACCAATCTAGTGATTTGGTTTTACTCCAAAACAAATGGAGGCAGTTTTTCCTATAGTTACACTTTTCCTGATGCTTCTCACTGACGTTTATCTCTCATGACTTCTGTGAAACTTCCCAGACCAGGTTTTCTTTAGGGAAAACTTAATCCAGACAATAGCTTATTTCATATTACTTCATGATTAAAGAGAATGCAAATGACTACCTAAATATCCAAGCTAATAGAGTCCCTAAAACTAGAAGTCTACTGAAGTGTCATTCTTGAAAGTTTGCATTGTTGGAGGAGAATCAAGGACCACACTCAACTGGATACAACTCCATCCTGAGAAAAGAGGACTGTGATCCTAAACCAACACTCCATAGAAAGCGAATGCCAAGAGTACCTGGTAACAATTCATTAATATTTCAATCCATAGGACTGAAGCAGTAGAGAGAAATCTCGACAGTTACTATCATCTGACTAGACTTTTTTAAAGAGCTTAACACTGGAAGGAAATGAAGATATTATAGCATATATAAAATACTCATTTCTTAACAAAATGTTTACCTGATTGCTTTTCTGGAGCTCTTGTACCTTCTTGGCAAATTCCTTGGCTTCTTTCTGACATTGTTGCTCTAGTTTCTCTACTTTCCTTTGAATCCTTTCATCCATTATCTGGAGTTCCTGAATATGATTTACAAATTCTTCTAATAATCTAATAGAGGAAAGTTTGAATATGTATCAATCTAACTATTATTAATCCTTAGGAACTGATGAGTTCATTTATAATCATAAAGAAGGTCTTAATAAGAAGAGTTCCTAGAGCTTGGAATGATCATGTTAACTTTCTCTATAGCATCTTGTTAGAAATTTCTTCATCAAAAGATAAAGTTGTTCTGTAACTTCATAACGTCCTCATAGTTTTGTCCAGGCCACATGGCTTTCAAGCAAACATGACATTTGAAAATACAGCCAGGCTTTGCTGAGCACGGTGGCTCACGCCTGTAATCCGAGCACTCTGAGAGGCTGAGGTGGGCGGATCACCTGAGGTCGAGAGTTCAACACCAGCCTGACCAACATGGAGAAACCCTGTCTCTACTGAAAATACAAAATTAGCTGGGCATGGTGGCGCATGCTTGTAATCCTAGCTACTTGGGAGGCTGTGGCAGGAGAATCACTTGAACCTGGGAGGCGGAAGTTGTGGTGGCCGAGATTGTGCCAATGAACTGCAGCCTAGGCAACAAGAGCAAGAAGAAAGAAGGGAAAGAAGATGGGAAAAGAAAGGAAAGAAGGGAAGAATGAAAGGAAAGAAAGAAAAGAAAATATAGGCAGACTTCATTGACTTTTTGATGAAATAACTCAAGAGGTGAATGAAAACCTCACCCAGAATCCCCAGTAAACCCCGAGAATAGAATGACATTTTATAGCTGTTTTAAAATAGTCAAGAAGGTAAATGTACCATATAAAAATATACATTCCAGAGTTCAGTGACTTTCTGTTCCCCAATGTACAACTATATTTAAAACAATATATTTAATGTTTTTATTTTAGAAGTATTACCAACCATTTCTACTTTATGACTCATTAGGAGAAATGTTAAATTCTTATCCTCAATAAAATTCCTTCTGCATACCAGTTAAACTGCTTCTTTAAAAGAATGTCAAAGAAAAAACAAAACCTCAAGCTTTTAATGCTCTGTTGTATTATATCTTTTATTGGCCAATTGTTAACTAAAATCCTTGTTATCAATCTCAATACTCATCTCCATTCTAACACTCATGTGTACTCGATTAGATCTATGGGGAAAAATCTTTTTTCACTTCACCTTTTAGGATCAAAAGCTTCAGGTCCACCTCTAGAGCCTCCTCCTGGGGTTCTCCAAACAAGACGTTCAATATATTCATCTGCCACAAAAGGCTCCTAGTTTACAAAATAAATACACTTTAACAAAGTTTCATATACAAGTACTTAATATTACCTATAAAATTAAAACACCTTCTACGAGGTACAATCTTAAAATGAAATTAAATTACTATTTAAATACATCTATACTATTAAAATGTGCAGGGTTTTTTTTTTTTTTCAATTAAAAATCTTCTGACAAAGTTTTCTTATTTTAATTATAATGAGGAAGGCAGGAAAGGATAAACTGAAATTTACACTCTCATTATTGTTAGAAATATCAACAGGTATAATCTTTTGGAGGCCACTGGTAAGTATTAGGTAACATCAACAGTGTTACAAATGCTTGCACACCCTAACAGTAACTCTACTTTCAAAATCTAAGGAAAAAGCATATATGAATGCAAACATTTCTGCAGAATGTTCATTGAGCATTATGTATAATACTAAGAAATTGTTTACATAAATAATATTCACAAAGCCATAACTGACAAATTAGGGTAAACTTACAGGATGAAAAACAATGTTCCTATTAAAATCATGATCATGTACAAAGTTCAGAAATGAGAACAAAGTCTAACACGTGAAGGCTGATGAAAAAAGCAAGATACAATATCTTACAATTTTCTTAAAAAAAAAAAAAAAACCAAGTTTTTCAAAAGGTTATTGGAGAAGGTTCCATCAAGAAAATAGAAATTTGAATATTCACCATCAGCACATAATATACTTTTAGACTAATACACACTAATTTACATACTTTTCATCTACTCTTTCATGTAAATGAATATCACATATTGCCTCCTACCTAGCATGTAACTTAAACTAGTGATCAGCATTTGCTAGTGATTCCAATTTGAACTTTTATATCTACAAAGTTTTTTCATCAACTTTTAAAGATATAAAGTACTGACATGTTTTAGAATTAAGTCCTAAGGATGAATTAATATCCTTGCAAAGTAAAAAATATGGCACCCTGAAATACAACGAACTCATTTGGCAACATATCATCATTTAGATAATCAGCCTCTAGTCTGCCTCACTTCCGATGAAACAAGAATTGATGTAAATCTAATAATGTTTAATGTACATCTAAATGAGAAATATTGACTCAAGATGAATTTATATTTACAGTACTTAAAACTTTAGAAACTAAGCTACTTCAAAATTTTAGAAAATCTGGCCATCAAATGAAACGCCCTATATAATGAAATGGTGGTGACGGCTAAAGTTTTTAAGTACTTACTAAGTGCCAGGTACTGCCTAGTATTTTTTATCACACTCAATATGTATTATGGTAAGTAGTAAGTCTACAAGGTAGGTTCTACTAATACCAATTCATTTTACAGTTGTGAAATTACTTGAGGAAGTAGTCAGCCCTTCCAAAAATCTATAATACTTTCATTAAAAAACTTCATATAGTAATCATGTTCCTTTTCCCTATCATTTTACTGTCACACATATTTGTGTAAATTCTTAGTAATCAGTTCTTATGTGCCTTTTCCCAACTGGTCTGCCCAGAAGACTGGCCTTTTTGCAGTGCACCTACTCAGAGGGGGAGTCTTTTCCTAATGCACACTAAAGTGCCTTATGTGAAGGGTAACCATGGTTCAAAGCACATTTTGACTGATGCTAGTACTACTCTAGACAGATGGCTATACATATTTATTTTCTTCAGCCAATAATTTGAGAACCCTGACTTTGCAGCAGTCACTGTGCCAAGAGTGGCAGGACCAGTGTGACAAAGTCACAGTTCCTGCCTACCTTCTTCCTGCCTATACACAATAACTCTCCTATCCTATTCCTTCTCACAAAAGGAGCAACAGCCATTTACTTTAACAAGGAAAGGAAAACACGCAAATATTTTGAAATCTGTTGGATATAGGCCCTAAAAGCATCATGGACCACGTCAGAGAGAGAACATATGCGGGCCAGGTAATAGATTCCTGTCCAAGATCTAGCAGAATCAAACCAATATATCCATGTGCACACCTAGTGGTCATTTCTGCAGTCTACAAATGTTTAACAGTGACAGACACACTTAATAGCTGATATGACTCCAACATTTGGGTCCCTGGTCTACAGAATAAGAACTATTATAATGAGGAAGCCCAAGTAAAAAATCTCTAAAATTGCCCCTGTCCAGCCAAGGTAGTTAATCATGTGGGGTGGCAAAAATTCATGCCACCCTTAAGAATCTAAAGTAGGCTAGGCACAGTGGCTCACACCTGTAATCCCAGCACTTTGGCATGCTCAAGTGGGTGGATCACAAGGTCAAGATATAAAGACCATCCTGGCCAACATGGTGAAACCCCATCTCTACTAAAAATACAAAAATTTGCTGGGCATGGTGGCACATGCCTGTCGTCCCAACTACTCGGGAGGCTGAGGCAGGAGAATCACTTGAACCCAGGAGGTGGAGATTGCAGTAAGTGGAGACTGTGCCACTGCACTCCAGCCTGGTGACAGAGTGAGACGCTGTTCAGGAAAAAAAAAAATCTAAAGTAGAGATGTACAATTTGTTTCTTAAAAGATCAGATAGCAAGTATTTTAGGCTTGCAGACCATAGAGTCTCTGTTAGAACCATTCAACTCTGCCACTGTGGTACAAATGCAAACATACACAACACATAAATGAGCACAAGTTATGTATTAACAAAACAGGATTCTGGGAAGATGGCAGAGTAAATCTGTCTCCCCATCTAGGTAGCAACTGCACTGACAGAATCTTTCTGTTTTGGAACTCTGTAGGATAATGAAGGCTTATATCTTCCCAGGGGGAGGCTAAGACAAGAAAACATGGTAATTTTGGTCAATTTCAGCTCTTAGCACTATAGTAGCTACTCAGGTCCCACCCCAGCCCTGTGGCAGAGTGCTGTGCACATATTCCTGGAACCTGCACACAGCTTGTAGGAGCCAGCATGGGGAAAAAGGACCCTGTCCTCCAAATATCTGGGATCCCTTCTCTGAGGGCTAATTGCTGCTTCAGCCGGCAGAGGCATAAAGAGGCGGGTGGCCTTTGTTGTTGGACCTTCCCCATTTTTGCAAGCCCCTCTCCTTCTGGATAAAGTGACTGCCAGAGGATTTAAGCCAATGGATCAAAGAAGGAATTACAAGGCAAATTAGAAAATACTTAAAATAGATGAATGAAAATAAAAACACAACATACAAAAATGTAAAACACAGTGAAAGCAGTGCTAAGGAGTAAATTCACAATTAGAAATATTTATATTAAAAAATAAAAATATCTCAAATCAACATAACTTTAAAACTTAAGTCACTAGAAAAAGAAAAACTTAAGTAACGATAACAATAAGAAAAACTAAACCTGAAGCTAGCAGAAGGAAGGAAATAATAAAGATTGGAGCAGAAATTAAATTAGAGCAGGCGTCCCCAAACTTTTTACACAGGGGGCCAGTTCACTGTCCCTCACACCGTGGGAGGGCCGTCATACACTGTGCTCCTCTCACTGACCACCAATGAAAGAGGTGCCCCTTCCTGAAGTACGGCGGGGGAGCCGGATAAATGGCCTCAAGGGGCCGCATGCAGCCTGAGGGCCGTAGTTTGGGGACGCCTGAATTAGAAAACAGGGAAATAGAAAAAAAAAAAAAAAAAGAAAAGAAAAAAAAGAAAAAAAAAAAATCAATGAAACCAAAAGTTGGTTTTTTGAAAAGATCAGCAAAACTGAAAAGCCTTTAGCTAAAAAGACCAAGAAGAAAGAGAAGGCTCAAATTACTAAAATCACAAATGAAAGTGAAGACATTACTATCAATTTTGTAGAAACAAAAAGGCTTATAAGACAGCATTATAAACAATTATATGCCAATGAATTTGATAACCTAAATGAAATAGAAAAACTCCTAGAAACATAAAATCTACCTGAAAAAATAGAAAATAATAGACCTATAACCAGTAAGGGGACTAAATCAGTAATCAAAAATCTCCGGACAGAGAAAAGCCCTGGAACTGATGGCTTCACTGTTTAATTCTGCTAAACATTTTATAAAGCTAATATCAAGCCTTCTCAAACTTTTCCAAAAAAAATTGAGAAAGACTTCCTAACTCACTCTATGAGGCCAGCATTACTCTGGCAAAGCCATACAAAGACTGTACAAGGAAACTACCGACCAATATCCCTTTATAAACACTCATGCAAAAATCATCAATGAAATATCAGCAAACCAAATTCAACAGCATTACTAACGTGATTATATACAACCTACAGAACAGGAGAAAATATCTGCAAACTATACATCTGGTAAGGGGTTTAAATTAAAGTATATAAGGAACTCAAGCAACTCAATAGGAAGAAAACAAATTATCTGATTTTTAAAAATGTACAAAGGGCACGAACAGACATTTCTCAAAAGATATACAAATAGCCAACAAGTATATGAAAAAATGCTTAACACCATTAATCATCAGGGAAACGCAAATTAAAACCTCAGTAAGGTATCACCTCACACCTATTAAAATGGCCATTATCAAACAGACAAAGGTAAGTGTTGGTAAGAATGTGGAGAAAAGGAAACCCTTGCACACTGTTGATGGGAATGTAAATTAGCACAGCCATTATGAAAAACGTTATTGAGGTTCCTGAAAAAATTAAAAATAGAAATACCGTAAAGATCCAGCAATCATACTACCAAATACATATCCAAAGGAAATGAAATCAGTATATCAAAGAGTTATCTTCACCACCATGTTTATTGCAGCATTATTCACAATAGCTGAGACACAGAATCAATCTAAGTGTCCATCAATGGATGAATGAATAAAGAAAATAAGGCATATACTCACAACAGAATACTACTCAGCCATTAAAAAGAAGGAAATCTTGTCATTTGAAAAATACGATGAACCAGGAGAACATTATATTAAGTAAAATAAGCCAGGAATAGAAAGACAAATACCACATGATCTCACTCATATGTGAAACTTTAAAATGTTGCTCTCATAGAAATAAGAGTAGATTGGTGATTACCAAAGGCTGGGAAAGGCAAAGTGGGGGAACAGAAGAAG